GGCCAAGGGAATGCTGGGAAATGTAGTTCTTTCCCTGCTCCAGGGCTGGCTCTGTAGGCAGGGAGCTAACCAAGGAACTACAGCTCCCAGGGCCCCCTGTTGGTTCTCAGCTCCCATGCTGTATCCCTGCCGCCCCTGCAAATGGGCTGCCCCAAGCACGTGCTTGCTTTGCTGGTGCCTAGAGCCGCCCCTGAGTGGGGGCGCAGCTGGGCTGCCGACTCTCTCTGAATCCAAGCACTGCTTCCAAGAAAGGTTTCATTATTCTTAGCCTCCTGCACCCAGAAGCTCAAGTTGAGATGGAGTGAAGTAGTGTCATGGGGTTTCCCTTCAGAAGAGCGCTAAAGGAACATCAATAATTAAGGAGTCTAATGCACCTGGTGTAATGGGAGGGTGTATTAATATTCATCGGTGAGAATTGGAGAGCTAAGAAGGAAATGAGGCACAGCAGTCTATGATTTCTCTAGTAAAGAACAATGCAATGCAATGCCTATTAGCCTGGCTTCCTGAAGCTGCTCAAGGATCTGAAGGTAACAAACAATTCTGTATTGTAAATGGGTGAGAGATGAGAGACAAGTAGGAATAGACAGATTCAATAAAGCTTGCAGAGGAAAAGATAAGGAAAGCAAAAAAAGCAGAATGAGTTAATACTAGGCAAAGGCTGTAAGGGGAATAAGAGTTTCTATAAACATGTCATGGGAAAAAGAAAGTAAAGCCATTAATAAGTAAGAAGGTGAATGAAATCGACGATTACTCTGAGCTCCTGCGCTGCTTTTTAAAATCTCTCTTTAGCAAGCTATACATTAACAATGGCCCAACTCCTGCAAATTGCTCCCCGCATACAGACTCCCATTGACTTTAATGGGGCTCCCTCCACATAGAAGAATTTGTAGGAATGGAGCCTTGGATTTGGACAATGAGAGCAAGGCAGATATTATATAAACAGTTGTTGATGAAAGGAGGTATCAGGATATATGAAAAAACAAAACACATGCAACCTTGGTCTCTGAACTCAATACTAGCTAGCTACACCACAATTGCTATGAATGTGGGCGGGGGGGATTGTACTGCACCTTTAAATTTCTGACAGCACAGCTGATGCAGCATGTTCCAAAGAAGGGACCCAAACTGCTCCCTCATGGAGACTTTACTTTTGTTCTTTCTTAGTTTGTTGTGCCCCTTAATCTGAACTGAAAGTCATTTGGACTGAGTCTAGAGGGTTGTCTAGGTGTATGGAGAAACATTGAGTGCTTCTACATTTCCATGGTGCAGTTCCCAGTCTCCTAGTAGCTGGAGCTGATGTGGAAGTGGGAGAGAGATGCAAGTGAGACACTATAGTTACCCATTCTCTCAAACATGAGGATTGATTAAAGATATGCCAGTTGAAGGTATTTTTACACTGAGCTATTTGCTGTCCAAGCAGCTGTTTGTCTCCTTGACTAAGTTGGCTTGAGTTGATCTTGTGTGGGGAAGTACAGGACTTTGGAGATTAAATTCAATAGGCCAGCTGTGAGATGATGCTCTGGATTCAGGCAAGGTTGATGCACATTGTGGCTTTGAACAGACAGGACAGCACACACCCCCTTTGTGCTGATCAAAGGAAATTTGCCCTTTCATCACCCCTCCCCCTCCACCATTGTAAAATGGGGGTGTGACTCTTGGAGCCCCTCAGTGCCAACTAGCAGAGGGCCCCCCTACTGTAACTCACATCAGGTCTGACACACTCATTGTCCCAACACACTGTTGTCATGATATATATCTCAAAGGTGTCATGAAAGATATCGTATGTAAACTGGTGCCATGCTGGTCCCAAAAATCATTGTGTGATCTATGTACAGGTTGAGTACAAAGAGTTATAGATGTGTGCTGGAAATATATTCATGAAAAGTGTTTGAGAAGTAGAGCATAAAATCCAGCCTGCCCTAGGCAAAGGCATGTGTATTTACCTGTCTGACCAGCTGGGCTACCAGCAGAGGACAATGGAAGTATATTTACGTATAAGGAAAACAAAGACATCAAGCTAAACAAACGGGGGAGAAGACTCTGGACTTTGAGTAATATAAGGGGAACAAAAAGACCTTTTAGTTCTCTATCACTGCAGGGAGAGTAGAGTACAGCACCTTTTGAGCCTATGAAAGCTGGATTCTCTTGGCCTGAAAGGCAAGAGCTGCTGGAAACATGATGTAAGTGAGAAACTGCTTAGGCAAAGATTGCAACTTGCTAAGATTAAATTTTCATCATTAGAAAGTGTGTTTTGTTTTGTTTTGTTTGTGGCCTTGCCTGTCTCTTTTCCCCTTGCTTAGCAACACTTAAACCCAAGGGCTTTGTGAATAACCTTTGTCTTATTTTATAGCGAACAGGGGCTGCTAACAGGGAGTTTCGCAAGGGAGTTTGGAAGGGGAGCAGGAAGGGGGCGAGGGTCCCTTGCCAGTTCCATCTGTTTTCTCTTGATTCCCCTTAATACCTATAAGCAACTACATTCATAACTTTTTGCTTAAACAACCCTTTCAGCTGACAGGGGGCTGCAGACGGGAGTTTGACAGTGGGAGGCTTATGATGGTTAGGAAGACCCGCAACACCTGTGCCAGCACTGCTACTGTCTCCTCCACCTGTGCCTGTAGCCAGACAGAGCGCCTGAGCATGGATGCCTCTACGCAGATCCTGGTGTGGTTTTGCAAAGACTGTAACTTGCAATTTCCACTTACTGATATCCAGGCTGCGGGGACCATCCAATGTGAGAGGTGCCTGCTGGTGGAATCTCGCAGGCAGCAGGTGGGAGAGCTACAGGAGGAGGTGGCTAGGTTGAGGAGCATCCGAATCCACGAGCAATTCCTCGACAGTGTCCATGTGGAGACAGCTGAGGTAGCTGTCCCAGTACACAGGACTGCTGATACACCACTGGAGGACGAGGAGATGGCTCAGGGTGGACACTGGCAGCTGGTTACTTCTGGCAGCAGGCAGTGCTCCACCCCTGCTCCGAACCGTCCTGCTGTGGTTATAGGTAACCGTTATGCTCTTCTTGATACAGGAAAGAAGGAATCACTCCCTACAGTAAAGGAGGAGAAGCCTCGTGCCCCTAAGGCTGGAGGGTCTGCTGCCACCACTGCGAATAGGAAACGTAGG